TTTTTGCATGTGTGAGAATGAATCTATGTTAAATTAGGCAGCAAAAGGATGTGAAGTGTGAGTCAAATTTAATATCATAAAATTACAATCTGTGTCAAACTGATTTAATTTAAAATCAGGCTGTTCAGATTCAGTTTTCATGTAGTTACTCAAGTTAAATGAGTCATAACATGTGATTCAAATTCAGTTTTTTAATGAAATTATTCAAGTTGAGTAGCTCAAATTCAAATATAAATGATTCATCATGTTCCTAACTTGTTAGACTTGAAGACTGGCTGATGCATCACAGAAACATGGCTGAAATGTTTTCCAGGCTCTGTTCAGTATCACTTCACTTTCTTCAACACCCACATATTCCTGTTCTCAGGAGACTGTTTACAGCAAACTGATCACACGTATGATGATCTCTGTGAAATCGATTATCAATAAAAATGTAAGCTACTGTTACAGTTCTTCAGTTTTTTGCAAATCAAACTTCCTTCCTCCTCTTCACCCTCCGGGGGAAGAGAAGCAGACGTGTGCACCACATGCTGTGTTATTGCTTGGATCTTCTTTGGAATTCACAGGCCAACATCAGCATCTATGCATGTCTCTTTTTGATAAGACCACCGCCACATGTGTTCAATGTTCATTATCTTTATGCTTTCCACAAAATCATTGCAGAAAACAATCCAGAGCAGGTTTATTTACGAGACAGCTGCCAGCAAGCATTTGCTTTGCTTTGCTTCGATCCAGTGTCTCATATTTCCTAAATGAAATACACAAAGAGGTAACTCTACATGTGAACAATTAACCCTTGTGTTGACTTAAAGGTTCTGTGTGTAATTCACTGGTGTGTAATCAGTTTTTACTGTGGTCCAAACTGGGCAAACTAAACTCCCTTTGAGTTGTCAATACAGCTGAAGTTCTTTTATGTTGGGAAGGGGAGGGTGAGGTGAGGGGTATTCAGCTGCAACATGAAACTTCACCACTAGATATTACTAAATTCTACACACTGAACCTTTAAGTGTCACGGCCTGTCTCATGTTTAACATCAGAGGAAACCCTTAATGATCTGCATTCACCTTGAATTTTGATGACTTTGTCAGAAGTATATGGTGACCTCATCATAAGAAAACTATACACTTGGTATGTACCTCCACCACAGTGCAACAGTAAAATCAATCAATGCAATTAAAAAAAAAAAAAGATCTAAGAATGACTCTCTGAGAAATTAGTGAAAATGTCAAAACAAACAATTAAAACAATGAAAGTGATAAAAGATCAATCCTGGATCTTCCACTTGATCTGGATCAATATTGAATGGGTTCTTACCTGACCTACATCACATTTTCCACCCAAGTTTCATGGTAATCCATTCAGTTGTTTTTGGGTTATGTGCCAACCAACAAACAAACAAACAAACAAACATTATGCTTGGCAGGTGAGAGAAGCAGCAGCTTTGTACATAATACCATGAGAGCCGTGCACCACCAGGGTACAAATACTGAGTTATTTTTCTTACCTGGTGCTTAAAATCACAAAACAATAAAAACTGAAAGAAATAAACATTTGTCAAAGATCAAGAAAATATCATGGTCCCTTTCATCATATTACATCCAGGACAGGAGGGCAGCACAAGATGAGCAGGACCTGAGGACCCCACAAGAGCCCATTCTATATGTTTATCACACCAGCCAGTGAATAAAGCATCGTGCAACGGTCAACTGGAAAAGTAGGATTGAAACTGACTTGCATGCATCGCACTGCTTTTCACAGCAGTTGTTACGGTTTGATAATTATCAGTCAAGACATGTGAGAAGAAACTAGAGGCCATGAAAGAGTAGAGGGAGAACTGGGTGGAATGTCATACTTCTACAACCTTGTGGAAATAAACAGTGGATAAGATATACAGAGGTAATAATCTCAGAGGTTCAGATTGATTGAAGTTAAGGGAACTGTCTTGATGGTCTACTGAGTGCCTTTTTAGCTCCCTCTGCCATGGAGATTATGTTTCCCTTGTTGATTGTCTGTCTGGTAGCAGGATTACACAAGAACTACTGAACTGGGGTATATGTAATGGAAGAAAACCAATGAATCTTAGAGTGTATTAGAATTTTTTACCCTCTATAACTTCACAAGATTTTCACATTATTGTGAATTTATCAAGAAATAATTCATGGATCATGCTCACTTAGTGGACTGACATCTATGAGGGTATCATTTGGTGCAGCTTGATTGAATTTGAGGGGACTGATGGACCTTGAGTGCAGATTTAGTTCAAGACATTTTTCCAATTAGCCTTTCAAGGAACTCAGCTTTGTAGCCCAGGGGGGTGTTCCACTGTGTTTTTCAAAGCTGCTGTCCTTTCAGCAGTATATGCTCAGTGTTAGTATATGGGTGGTCTGTGGAGACGAGTAGTGGAGGCTCGGTGTAGAACCAGGAGATGCAGGTTCAATGTGTGTCCATTTCATCACCTCTAATGAACCAGCAGCTCCTGAAAGAACACGCCTGCAGCTCCCCTGTCCCCTCCTTGTATCAAAGACAAAGGCCTTACAGGTTTTGATTTGAGTAATCTGCAAAGTCCATACATACATTACTTTACTAATTCGAGTTTATTGATGTTCCTTATGTTTTATGGATCTATTATTTCCAATTTATTTCCTTATTTATTGCTGTTTATGCAGTGGAGGCAATGGTTCAAGACTATTAGATTATTCACCGTGCAGTGTATAACAATATATCAGTGTTGCAAGAAAACTGTACTTTAGATTTGATAAAATGCACAAAAACTAGACTTTCTGTACATTTCTGATACTTCCTTACAAGTCTCCTGACAAAATAATGTACATGCATTTATGCATTTAAAAATACTGATACTTATACTAAAACTAATAATAACAGCAATACACCATCAAGACCAGATGAAAAACTAAAAAACTAAATCGGTGTCAATGTCAAAAATCCATCTTTGCACTCTCTAGGCAAAAAACCCAGATATTTAAAACTTCTTTGATGAATAACAGGTCGCTTTGTCTTGCAAAATCGATATGGGTTTAAAATTCAGTTAGGCTGCTTTCATTTAGGTTTTTTCATGAGTCCAGGTCATTGTTGGTCCTTGAGGCAATAGACGAATGTTAAACATATAAAAGGATTAAAAACACTTCCTGCGGGAAAAAAAATATAAAGAACAGAACAAAACAAAGGATGATATAGGCTCTTAATATTTTTATTCAATAACAAAAAAAATATAAACTTACTTTGCTCACAAATCCACACATGAACAATTCTTCATTGGGAAAACCAGATCATCTCATCTCCAAGGCATGGTTTACATAGGAACAGAAACATCTAGTTTTTAAGAGCTTTTCCACATTTAGTCTGTGGGAGTCATGACTTTTTAAGGAACAAACAAGAAATGTATGTTACAATGTATATCTATTGATAAGCATACATACAAGTTTAATCTAGCATGAGATAAATAGAGTTAAATACTTTCTAAGGTAGCAATAATGCGGGAAATTCCCGAGACACAACACACAGTTAACGTGTAAAACAGTATGTTGTGAATCTGTATATTCTGTAAACATTTCTGTGGGTTTTAAGTTTTTCATCTTACAGCCTCAGAGGACTGATGACAGAAAAACACATCATATGGTTTCAATCCTTCAGTTGCGTCTCTCTTCTCTTCAAGCGTTGACGCCAACGACAATGGAAAGAATTTTCACTTTTAATCTCAATATCGTGGTTTTCTAAATGTTCCTGTAGTCTGCACTGAGCTGTGATAATGTTCTCTAAACTGCACCTGTGCTGTAAAAGAGAAAAACCCACAGGCCAGTGGCCAGTGTGTGAGAATTCCCCTGTGTACATAAGTCTCAACAGGTTGGTTTAAACATTGTGGCTGATCAGTGTGAATGCTCATCACTTAGTATGTCCAGGTGCTGGGGTTTGTTTGCACATGAATATGCCTGTGTGTGTGTGTGTGTGTGTGTGTGTGTGTGTGTG